GGCCTAAAACCCTACACGTCTTATATAGCCCTTCGGGCTGAAAAGGACGTTAAACTAGAATAATAATAATAATAATAATAATAATAATAATAATAATAATAATAATAATAATAATAATAATAAAAACACTTCGAACTGGCAAGATCATCAACGGCTATGGGCCAACCGAAAATACCACCTTCAGTACAACTTTCTTCCTGTCAAAAGACGAGCAGTACGCGAATGGTGCCCCCATTGGCCGTGCGCTTAGCAACTCTGGCGCCTATGTCATGGATTTGAAGCAGCAGCTTGTTCCACTTGGGGTTGTTGGGGAGCTTGTTGTCACCGGAGATGGCCTGGCGCGTGGATACACCGACCCTGAGCGCAACATTAACCGCTTCGTCACTGTGGAGATTGGTGGCGAGACTGTAAAGGCTTACCGTACAGGCGACTATGTGCGTTACCGTCCTACAGACGGCCAAATAGAGTATTTCGGCCGCATGGACGGACAAGTCAAAATTCGGGGACACCGCATTGAGTTGGGCGAGATCGAGCACGTCTTCCGCAGCCACAAGTCGGTAAGAGAGGCTGTGGCTGTGGTGCAGCAGCAGCACGGAGTAGATGAAGCTGCTCGGATAGCTGCGTTCGTCACAGTCTACGACGGCGACGGGGTGGTTGAAGAAAAGCCTAGCGATAACGACGAGTCACAGCATGTGGATACATGGGAAGATCAGTTTGATTCCAAAGTCTATATGCCCATCTCCAACGTCCTACCCGAGGCTATTGGCCGAGACTTTATTGGGTGGACTTCCATGTACGATGGCAGCGCGATTGACAAAGCGGAGATGAACGAGTGGCTGGACGAGACGATCAACACGATGCTCAACGGCCATCAGCCTGGCAGGGTCCTTGAAGTCGGCACAGGGACTGGCATGATTCTCTTCAACATAGTCGACGGTCTCGAGAGCTATGTTGGACTAGACCCATCTCAAAAAGCTGTAGAGTTCGTCAAACACACAGCCAGGTCCACACCTACGCTAGCAGACAAGGTCAAGGTCTACAAGGCCACAGCGGCAGAGATTGATCGCCTCCCGCCTATTGATGCAAGCCTTGTTGTCATCAACTCAGTTGTTCAGTACTTTCCGAGCCTAGAGTACCTTTTCAAGACCACACAACAGCTGCTTGAACTGGAGGGCGTCTCTACTCTCTTCTTTGGCGATGTCCGGTCATATGCGCTACACCGAGAGTTTCTTGCAACTCGGGCTTTGTTCATGGCTGGCGACAGTGCAGCAAAGGCTGACGTCCGTCGCATGATTGATGATATGGAGCGAGTCGAGAGAGAGCTCCTGGTGGATCCAGCCTTCTTCACTGGTCTGCCGGACCGCTTACCACACCTCGTAGACCATGTGGAAATCTTGCCGAAGAAGATGAAGGCAACAAACGAGCTAAGCTGCTACCGCTACGCTGCTATTGTTCATGTCAAGCCGCGAAATGGGCAAAAGCAGGAGCAGGTAATTCGGCAGGTTGGACATGACGAATGGATCGACTTTACGGAGCGCAAGCTAGACCGCCAGTCTCTCTCGACGCAACTTCAGAGCCTTTCCAACTTCTCTACGGTAGCCGTGAGCAACATTCCGTATAGTAAGACTATTGTGAGTCGGTGCCTTGTCGACTCGTTGGACAGTGAAGTAGCCGAGACTTCCGATTCTCCAAACTGGCTCTCGTCAGTGTATCAGCAAGCTCAGCACTGCCCCTCCTTGTCTGCTATTGACCTACATGAGTTGGCGGAAGAAGCCAACTGCCGCGTTGAGATTAGTTGGAACAGGCAGCACTCTCAGCGTGGAGTTCTCGATGCCATATTCCATCGATACCAGCCATGCATGGGAAAGAACAGGATAATGTTCCAATTCCCGACCGACCACGCAGAGCGGCCCCTTCACAGTCTGAGTAGCACACCGCTACGGCAACAGGTCTTGCAGAGAACCCAACAACAGCTCCAGGAGATGCTTGAGGCCCAACTACCTGCTTACATGATTCCCCAGACAATTACGTTCCTGGACGCGATGCCAACCAACCAGAACGGCAAAGTGGACCGGAGCGCTCTCACACAGAGGACAGAAATCCAGACAGTAGAAGGCCAAGAGTTTCAGAGAGAACTAACTAGAGCAGAACTAAAAATTCAGGAGCTAATGGCGCGCGTACTTCGCATCAATTCGAATCGCATTGGTCTGGATGATAGCTTTTTCCAGTTGGGTGGCGACTCAATTGCGGCCATGAAGCTGGTTGCTACAGCTCGCGAAGAGGACATCCGACTGACTGTCGCAAAGATCTTCCAGTACCCTAAACTCATTCAACTGGCCGCTGTAGCCCAGGAGTATGTTCACATTCCAAGTGACAGTATCGTTCCATTTTCCCTGCTCAACCCCGAGGTTGATGCAGTGCAGACACACCAAGAGGTGGCGGCCAGTTGCAACGTCGACAGGGGTTTTGTTGAGGATATCTACCCGTGTTCTCCCCTTCAGGAAGGCTTGATGTTGCTGACGGCGAAGCGGCCGGGTGATTACATCATGCAGACTGTGTTGGAGCTGCGGCCGGATGTAGACGAAGCAGCTTTCCGACTTGCATGGGAGAAGACAGTGGAGTCGTTGCAAATATTGCGAACGCGAATCGTGATACACAACACACTTGGTCTTTTGCAAGTTGTCATAGCGGACAAGATGAAGTGGGCAGAGGCAGACGATCTGGCCAATTACCTTGCTCAAGACAAGCTGTCATCTATGCAGCTTGGCGAGCCTCTTGCACGCTACGCCATGGTACGAGACCCTCGTAGAGAAAAGAGGTGGTTCGTATGGACGATTCACCATGCTATATACGATGGTTGGGCGTTAAACCACATTCTGAGCGCTGTGAAAACGGCATACAATGGCGCAGAACCAGAAAAGCAGTCTGGTTTCAACAACTTCATCAAATATCTCAGCCAGATGGATCAAGACGCTCTTGCGGCGTACTGGCAGACTACACTCAGCGACTGTGAGGCGAATGTCTTTCCACCACTTTTGTCTGGGGTGCAACAGCCAGTTGCCGATGCAACAGCGGAATATCAATGCCCGCCACTCCCCAAAAGAACTTCAAACACTACAATCTCGACACTTGTCCGCGCAGCTTGGGCAATTGTTGCCAGCGGCTACACCAGTTCAGACGATGTTGTGTTTGGGGCGACAGTTACGGGTCGAAATGCACCGGTCGCTGGTATCGAGTCTCTGATGGGGCCTGTCATTGCAACAGTGCCGGTGCGGGTACGTTTGCAGAGAGACTTGACTGTACTGAAATTTCTCGAGACAGTACAGAAACAAGGAACCGACATGGTTCCGTTCGAGCAAACGGGTCTGCAGCGGATTGCTAGGTTAGGGCCAGACACTGAACGCGCTTGTAGCTTTCAGACTCTACTAATAGTTCAGCCTGCAGAGGATGCATTCCAAACAGATGCCACGTTTGGAACATGGGAATTTGGCTCAGGACTGCAGGACTTCACGACGTATGCACTGATGGTGCAGTGTAAACTGGCTAAAGAGGGGGTCAAAATCACGGCCAGCTTCGATGCGAGGTTGATTGAACAGTGGCAAGTCGAGAAGATGCTGGCTCAACTAAGCTTCGTCATGCAGCAGCTAGCACGAGGAGACTCCAGCACAAGGGTCATGGACATTGAAACACTTACACCAAACGATGGACAGCAACTGTGGAAGTGGAATCACAGCCTACCACCCACTATAGAGCGCTGTGTCCACGATCTGTACATGGACCAAGTAAAGTCCCAGCCCAAAGCGGATGCAATCTGCGCTTGGGATGGTGGAATGACATACGAAGAGCTGGACGAACGATCATCACGGCTGGCACACCATTTGGTTGGCCTTGGCGTCAGACCAGAGAGTATAGTGCTTCTGTGCTTTGAGAAATCAAAGTGGGTGGTCGTGGCTATGCTGGCTGTGCTCAAAGCAGGGGGTGCCTTTGCGCCCCTAGAGCCAAATCATCCAGCATCTCGCCATCAAGAGATCTTCGAGCAGACCAAGGCTAGGATAGTGCTCACGTCAGCCCAATACTCCAACCTCTGGCCAGGATGCACTCCAACTGTCGTGGGAATCAGCGGAGACTTCATTGATCAGTTGCCGGCCAAACCTCACGACGCTCAAATAGCAGTGCAACCCGCCAACACAGCGTATGTCATCTTTACATCAGGAAGCACCGGTGTACCCAAGGGTGTTCAACTGGAGCATAAGGCTGTTTCGACAAGCTGTCTGCACCAAGGGCCCGCGTTGGGGATCACGAAGAACACTCGGGCTCTTCAATTCGGTGCTTATACATTTGATACCTGCATCTTAGAGATCATTACATCGCTACTGCATGGTGCGTGTGTATGCATTCCCTCCGAGAGTCAGCGGCGCGACAATCTCATTGAAACGATCAATACGATGAAAGTCACCTGGGCACTTCTGACTCCAGCCGTCGCAAGGATCTTAGACCCACGGAAGATCGTATCGCTGAGGACATTGGCCCTGGGCGGCGAAAAGGTCAATGCTTCTGACTGCGATATCTGGAGTGGTCGTGTACAACTGGTCAATGCCTATGGGCCCACTGAATGTTGCGTCTGCTGTGTTGCAAATCCCGAAATGAAGGGGCTCGACCCAGAACCCATCGGGAAGTCAATCTCGTCGGTCGGCTGGGTGACCGATCCAAACGACCATAACAGGCTAGCTCCGCTGGGCGCAGTTGGCGAACTACTGATAAAAGGACCAAACCTCGCACGCGGCTACCTCAATGATGCAAAGAAGACAGAGGCTGCCTTTATTCATGATCCCCTCTGGCTACTTCGGGGCTGCGAAGGCTACAGTGGGCGGCGAGGCAGACTGTACAAGACTGGTGACCTGGTCTACTACACTGAAAATGGCGATTTAGTCTATTATTATTATTATTATTATTATTATTATTCTAGTTTAACGTCCTTTTTCAGCCCGAAGGGCTATATAAGACGTGTAGGGTTTTTAGGCCTACAAGTATCTAAGTAGGTTGTTTCTAGCTACGATATTTAGGAGGGGTTTTAACTAGATAAAGGTGAGGCTCGTAGCCTATTAGTTGGTAGGTAGG